CCCTGAAGACTGATGCTAGCATTTAATCTCCATTGTAACATACACAAAAAGTAGAAATTGTATGTGAATATGGGTTTTAGGCATGGAACCCTTGGAAAGGGATACAGGCATCAGGATGGAGCCCAATTGGTGAATCCTTGTGACCTGATCAGGGGACAAAGTAAACAAATTCACACATGATCTCTCTCTCTTGCACCGGATACCTACCTTGCTTTTCCTTTCTGCCAGCACCAGCCGCATTGCCTCACAAGGTTCCAGACCTTGCATACTCACAATGATGACCCCAAATGAGCTTCTTTTCTTTAGAACTTACTATGATATACTGCATCAACTTGGGAAGTCTAAAAGCTTAACTAAATAACTCAGCAGTGCCACATCTTAGGATGCAGAGGACATGCCCTTACTGGTCTAGGATGCTGTTCACTGTGTCAACTGGATAAGTTTAGAAGGAGTCCAGGCTTTCCACCTTGTAAATATGCTCACTTTGAGCCAGAATGCTTACTTTTGCAAAGCCAGTGCAAGAGGAGAACATGGAGATAATGTGAGTGCTACACCTGCCCGAGGGAGGGTATATAGCCTGCATACTACATAAGGAAGGAAAAGAGGACTATTCTCCACCTTTTGCTCTTGTTGCTTTTGCCATCTTCTGCTACTTTCAACTGTTGCCCCGGTGCCATGCCACACTGCCTTGGAGCCAGCTGATTATAGACTAAATCTTCCAAACTGCGAGCTTAAAGAAACCGTTTTTGCCCCCTTAACTTCAGGTATTAGCTATTTTGTCTCAGCAATAAGAGAAAAGTAAGCAGGACACTTACACAGTCTGTCATCCTCATCAACAACCGCCAGTCACTACCTAAAGCAATACAAGCCGAACGTGAAGTCCTGCCTCAGCACTAATATTGAGAAAAATAATGTCATCTGCGGAACTTCAAATTTCTTAGGCCCTGTTTCCTCTTTAAGAACTCAGTGATTCTGAGCCCCTATTTCAGAGTAGAAGTCTATTGCTTGTTCTTTTGAATTTTTTATGTCTTACTTGGAATACCTTGATTTCGGTGAATAAAGCCTCAGTCTACATGCACATACTGCATTACATGACGACTCCCAACCACAGTATATGGAAAGGTAGAATTGGGCATAGCTTTAGCCAATAAAGAAAAGAGAAAACACCATAACAAAAAATAATACGAACAAACCTTAAACTGTTTAGGATGTAATCACAAAACACCATAAACTGGGTGGCTTCTGAACATCAGAAATGTATTTCTCACAGTTCTGAAGGAAGAGAAGTCCAAGACCAAGACACTAACTGGTAGACTTGGTGTTTGGTTGCTGCCTATTTCCTAGTTCACAGGTGGAGACTTCTCACTGTGTCTTCACAGGGTAGAAGGAGAAGCAAAGCAACACTTGAACTCTTTTATTAGGGTACACAGCCCATTTATGAGGGTGTCCCCAGGAAGCACTTTCCACCTCACCTCTAACAACTGCAGTTGTGATTAGGTTCAACATACAGATTATGGGGGGAACACACACACATACACACACACACACACATAGTTGGCGGAGTGAGGCAGAGGATACATACAGGTTTTGTTGGGAGCTCAGTGTGGATGTGAGAGAAAAAAATCACACATATGTTCTTGTGAAACATATCATGCAAAGACAGTGATCAGCTCTTTACCATGCAGGTGCATAAAAGGGCTAGGCACTCCTTGCTCCTGCGCAGGAAGGAGAATCTATGTTTATGGATCACTAATTGATAAACTTCTAGCTTAACGCCTGTCACAGTCATTAACATTTGATCTTCTATCTTAAATAAACAATCATACTACAGTGTGATATAACTTGCCACTTCTTATCCCTGAAGATATCTGAAGATTGTAGAATTTATTAATTCATTCGAGAGCTAAAAGAGACCTTAGACGTTAGTTGTGTTTTTCTGTTTTGTTTTATTTTTTTAACCTGCTATCGAGCGCAAAGGTTTCCCCTCCACCAATCTTGGCAGCACACTTTCAGGCTGAACCACTCCCCACAATCTGTATCTTTTAAAGGCAGCTCTCTGCTTTCCTGTTCACAGCTCTGTGACCTAGACATTTCCTCAGAAGGTACACTCAGAAGTCTCCCTACAATTTTCAAACATTGATCATACTTTTGAGACATTAGTTTATATCATCCAGGTTAAGGTAGTTATCACATGTTGAACAGTAACAACAAAAACTCTAAGGCTGACACTTGTTTTTTTAAATTTATGATTATTATTATTTTTAATGTATTTGGTTGTTATAGGGTCTCCCTATGCAGCTGAGATCCCTTGTGATCCTCTTGTTTTCAGCCTCCCCAGCTCTGGGATTATAGGGGTGTACCACCACACCCAGACTCTGGCCGGCTCAGCCTCCCCTGGGGGCGGGGTGGCACGGCATGTGGTGCTGGGGATCCAACCACAGTCCCTGCCCTTGCTTAAGCAGCACTGTAGCCCACTGAGCTATCTCACCAGCCCCAACACTTCTCTTTGGCATTTCTCATGCTTCTAGTTGGTTCTACATCTGTGTCAGCCTTTTTCAGTTATTCTCCCTATTAAAATCTGAAAAGAATAAGCCCTTGGATTTTTGACAAGTGTGAATTTTCATAACCCCAAGACCTCACATGATGAGGACTTTTCTTAACACACAGATTAATAACTCAGCAGTTATATATATTTTGGGTCTATTGAAATGAAAGCGATGGCCCACACTGAGTATGAGTAAAATAAAAGCTTAGCAGTCTTAAGCTACGTTTCCTATATAATCATTTAGTTAATTTGCATACATTTATATAATATACATGTTTGTATAACTTGTATCTATATGTGTATATTTGTATAATATATTTTAAAATTATCTCAGTTACATTTTATAGTGTAGTTAGGATAAAAATGAAATTTTTTTCATAGTATCTTTAAAATTGTTATTATGTCATTTAAAATATTAATATACCAGGAACTTTGGTTTATATCTGGTATATAAAACTTTTGTTTTTAACCTAAACAACTAATTTGAAGATAACATTATGGAATACAACAACCATTGTTGAATTCCTATTACTTTATTTAATGACATTTTGTATTATTTCTAGTGTTTTTAATTTTTTTTTACCGTTTTATACTCTCTAAAAAATAATAAATAAATAAATATTAGATTCTGTAATTTTGTCTTTTAAATTGGACAATATTAGCTTTCAGTCTGGTATTATCAAAAGCTCTCAAGAATATTCAATGAAAGGACGAGGATCTAGCTCAGCAGTAGAGCACCTGACTGGAAAACACAAGGTCATGAGTTTGATTCTTAGTAAAAAAAAAAAAAAATCTTGAATACATTAGAGAACTTCATGGGATTCTTAAATCTAGCCAGTCAGTATAGCCAAATATTATAGTTTTCTTTCTGTGCTGAAGATACTTAGTAATTCCCTGAAAAAATTATGAAGAACAAAATGTATCACTATTTGCTAGTTTTAATTCTGCTACAATGGTTAAATTGTGCTTTAATACATCATTCTGTACTTGACAAATGAATACTACTTCATCCCAATGAAAAATAAAGATTCTTATAATTTAAAAAGGTTAATATTTATGCTATATGTAATGCACCACAAATACATATATTTAAAAACAAGGCATCCGCAAACTCTTCACCGAAGGTACAAATCATTGAATCTGACAGAAGAATCAGCCATGAGACACCCAAAAATGTCATCGGGTAGCCTGAATTTCTCTATTTGAAAGGAAAAAATGATAAGCATCTGTTTTCTTCCTAAATATCTTACTGAAATAGATATGCCCACTCTACAACATTTTAATCTGCCGCAATGAAGATGTGGATATTGACATGTTGTTTAAATCTAGGATAAGAGCGATTTAACACCCCAGAAGACGGTATGAAATTTAGTAACAATGAGTGACACCGACAACTTCTGGTGCCTTGGAATTCCCCACTGAGTTACAGGAAGAGAACTTAAAGCCACAATAACTTATTCATTATTCAAAACTGCCTAATACATTTAGCTTTTGTGATACTGACCACTGTGCTGCTAATAATAATAGTAATCTCTGAACTTCAAAAATATTATCTTTTCTATTTAAAAATAGTATGATTTTGAAATACAGAATTCGTATATCTTAAAACAGAATTTCTGGGCTGGGGAGATAGCTCAGTAGATAAGCACTTGCCTGGCAAGTGCAAGGTCCTGAGTTAAAAAAAAAAAAAAAAAAAAAAAAAAAAAAAAAAGCAGAATTTCTGAGGATTCTTCTTTTTTTGCATAAATGTAAAAAATGTAAATATTCAAGATATCTGAAGATTATTCCAAATATATCTACTAACATGACTCATCACTATTAGACTATAGTTTTCTATCACTAGTGCACTGGATAAATAAATTGAGTAGAATTTTTTTTTTTTTTGCGGAACCAGGGATTGCACTCAGGCCCTTGTGCTTGCCAGGGAAGCGCTTATTCCACTGAGCCATCTCCCTGGCCTAAGTAGAATTTAATTTGCCAATTTCCTTGAAACTTTTTCCATTAACTCTGTTACAAATAATTGTTTTTGCCTAATCATGACCCTAGTTGCAAACTTATTTGAAATAAATGTCACTGCAAGAGTACCTTACTAAAGTGAACCTATCAAATATTTTCAAACATGTTTTTAAATTTAAACTCAAATTTCAACAGAAGCTGCTACATTAATTCCATATGCTTGATAAGAACTAACCTGAAAGCAAATGCAATTTATTGTTTGCCAGTCGGATGTGTGAACTCCTGTAAGCAAGTCTACCCTGCAATAAGGAATCTGAATGTAACAGTAACTCTCTCCTGTCACTGGATCAAAATGAAGAAGAACGAACCTCTGTGACTCTCACAACTTATTAGGAAGCACCCTGCTGGGCTCACACCGCATGCAGAAAACACCACTAACAGCTTATGAGCGTAGAATCATATGACGTTGCAAAGGACAGTCAAGTGCTGAGAATCTTACGTTCTTGAAAGGATGTGAAGAGCATCTGAAATCGGCTGCTGCGGCTGCCCTCGTCTGCCCACATGCGGATCACCCCCAGACCTGTGCGGAGCATCACGTCATTTGCCACAGTGCTACAGAACTTGGCCTTCAAATCCTCCACAGAACTGCTTCCGTCGTACACAGCCACAAAATTCCTTTTGCATTCATTTGAATTCTGCATCTCATAGTCCAAGAATCGCAAGTATATCTGTAAAACAAAGATAAAATAATGTCTCCATTTGGAAACGTGATGGTAGAGCTGAAAGTAGCTGAGCTTCCTTTCTCCCTTTCAAACTCACAAGGCAGTGTTGATTGCAATCAAACTCATTATTTTTCACTCTGAGGATAGTAGGAAGATGTTCAAGTAAGAACATTTTTTTTTCAAATGGTATTATCCTTTCTTTACTTAAATGCATCATTTTCCTTATTTTATATTATGCTTTAAATGATACTTATATCTTCCTGCAACTTATTTGGAATCAATTATTACTTTTACAGGTTTACACAGTTTACTTTGGTTAGGAAAAAAAGTTTCAACTGTCCTTGATAAAGCTTTTTAATCTCATGGCTTCTTTTTAATTCCAAAAACATATGGAGAGAAATAATCTATATTAATACTAAAGGAAAAAAAAGCTATCAAAAGACAGCCTCTCAGACTGGTGAGATAGTTCAGTGGACTAAAGCACCTGCTTAGGCGAGCTTAGGTAAGCACAGGGATTGGGATTCAATCCCCTGCCTCACATGCTGCACTGGTCCCACCCCTGGGCACACTGAGACCAGGCCTTGTGGCACCTGCCTGTAATCCCAGTGCTGGGGAAGCTGAAAGCAGGAGGATCACTATGAGTCCAAGCTGTTTAATGAGACCCTGTAACAACCAAATACATTAGAAAAACAAAAGAAAGGACAGCCTCTTACTTCACTTTGTTTCAGTTTTAAGCATAACTATTATTTAACTTTTGAGATGTGGCATATCAAAAAAAAGTTAAAAGGCAAAGCTAATCCATAATTATCCATATCAGAGTTATAGTCATTTCCTATAAAACATTTAATAGGTACAAAATACTGTGCAATTTATATTGTATGCTTTTCTTTTTTTTTAAAGTGTATTTAATACAGGGTCTCACTACACAGATGGGACTTAGAGTGATCCTCCAGTTTTCAGCCTCCCAAGTGCCCAGTCTTGTATGTTATTCTTTATGTGCTGTCACATTCAGACATAAGAACTCAAATTCAGAAGGAGAGAGCTGGAAATCAGACATGAGGTCCCCCTAAAAACCTAGTCTACAATCCTTCCACAATGTCAACCTGCTTCCTATACACTGATTATGGATCAATAGGCACTACTTAACTCAGGTGCATTCAGAATCGTGGCAATTAACTGCATCAGAGATGAGTCTATAAAGGCATTTGCTTATTCAGGTAACAATTCAGCAATATTTACAACTTAGCCTCTTACTCGGGCATGAACACACATCACCACATTGTAAATGTAGTTTGAACAACAGAATGAAAACCAGTGTTGAAAATACGTGTCACCTAAATCCTGACACTCAGACACAGTTTCAAACTGTGAGTATTATATTAAGAAATGGAAAGCAAAACACTCAAAGCCTAGGCAGTGTCAGAGGGGTATGTGGAGTCATTATGGACCAAAAAAAAGGTGCCCTTTACACGTTACTCCTAAATGCTCAGTTTTATTTTTAATATGCATGACAATTGTCTCTTTCCTCTTAGGTTCGTGTCTCTTTAAAATAACAGGGATTCAAAATAAGGCAACCAGTCAATTGAAGTTCATTTTTCATTTCTTTAGATGTATTTTTTCTTATTTCAGATATTATAAATCTCATGAGACAACTTTTTGCAAGATCTGAAATATCTATTCTAAATTCAAAGTTTCATTATTTTAAATACCGTTAGCACTCAGTGTTTGTACCAAATCAGGTGCCAGCCTCTGCTCCTTTCACTCTCAAGATAACTGTCTTCCACACCTCCTGGTACGTATATGACATTGCAACAGACTCCAAATTAGCCTGGATGTTTGCAAGGTCCAGACTCCCTAATCAAGCTCTTAATCCCAACCCGAAGTTAAAATAATGAGAAACATAGCTTAGTCAGTGTTAGGTTTCTAAGGAACAAATCTAGAAGCTACACTCCTTTAATCAAAATTGTTCAATGCATGTAAATTATAAATCACAGACTGCTATATTTACTTTCTTATAGGAAAAATAAAATCACAACGTACTTATTTTGAAAAATGTCAGCCTTTGTGCCCATAGCATTGGCACAGCATCTGCTATTGTCAGCTAGCTACTTCTTTCTGCCTTGTCAAATTCTCGTTCCATTCTTCATGCCAAAAAGATTCTCCCACTTCTCACACAGCACAATCCTAGTAGAATTCTTCTCTATACTTTCTATGCTAAATTATAACTTTGAACACATTTTGAGCTATTATCCAGGTGGGAAATCCCTTCTACCAAATTATGTTGTCCTGAAAAGCTGGGTGGGGTGGTGAACTATATGTGGTTTCACATTCTAGGCATTAAACCATGCTCTACATGGATAAGCATTCCACACAAGTTTGGGAAAGGATATACTTGTGTGGATAATGAATTGGAAAAACCTATTTTCTTCATTAATTCATTTTTATATGTGTCAAATATTTATTGGACATCTACAGGTCAGACATTATTTTAAGGCTACAAATAATGATAATTATACGGAATAGCAATTTTCTTATTTATAATAGAAAATTTTAGGAAGTAATCTTGTTATAGGCAGCTAAATTAGATAGAAATATAGGCAGTCACACAGAGCCAGGTCCTCAAAGAGACAATATGGAAGACAAGGTGACTTTGCAACTTTGGAAGAGATAGATACTCCCCATTGGGGCCAGACCTCAAGACAAGAGTAAACAAATACAGCCACATACTTCCCTTGAAATGGTTACCAGTGATTGATAGTCTAAATAAGCATCAATCACCTTGAAAGAGCCCAAATGAGTCACTAGCCCAACCCCCAACAGGAAGACCCTGTTCCACATTCACACTCGCTTGCTACACAGCTTGCTTCCCCATTTGATTCCGATTTAATCAATTTTACCTGAGCAATAGTGTTTGTACTCTCCTTGATTGACCATAGTTTTGTCCCACCTCATGCCCACCTAAGCGAGTTCCCATGCTCTTCACTACTTTAGACCCACCTCATTGCATGGTTTTACTTTGTAAAAGTCCCTGAAAGAGACGGCTTCCCAGGGACCACCCATTTGCCCCCCTACCCCACTTCTGTCCCTCTCTCGGACAGTGGCTTTCTTTCCCCCAATAAATATATTCTGCTTATAACCTCCATTTGTTCCTAAAATTCATTCTTTGGTTTTAGAGAACAGGACCTCGTCCTAAGGTCGGGAGTTTCATTTTTTTCCCCCTATATCATTTGGAGGTTATACACCGGGATCATTTTTTCCCCTATTTCAATCTTAGAAGAGGATACAAATAAGTCTAAAGTATGAGGCAAAAGGACAAGGCCATATGTTGCAGACCTGTAAGAAGCTGAAAATAAAATGTGATACCCAAAGGGAAGTACTCCTGATATACCTGTGAGAAGAACAATAACATGAAATAGAAAAATGAATGGAGTTGAACAACAGTAGAAAACATTAAAGTTCTACTATGCTTTGCCTGTAACAAAGTTTTATATACAGGTAATCTGCATCATTCAGTTGGAAGCTACCCTAAAATTTCCAGTTATGTAGACAATGATTTTAAATGAACTGCCATGGCCACGGTCTCATGAAACATTAACTCCAAGGAACCCTGCATAGTCCTCCTGCCTCATTATTGCTTTATTTTATTCCACCAAAGGCTCAAATATAACTCATAGTCCACTTGTGATCTACTCTTCCCAGCACAGTACTAAATTCCTGAAATTATATTGAGAATTCCAGAAATGTCCAAATTAAGGTATGTGTCTCAGAAACGTTGTATCTTCTGAATCTTTGCTAGCTGTTCTACTTCGCTTTTCAAATACACAAATTATCTAAAAAGAAGGTTTGCAAGTGCCCTTCATGAGAATGCTGGAGCAAAGCAGGCAAAACAACTTGCACAAGAAAAGGCAGCAAATTGATACACAAGCCTTAAATAGGATTAAAATTCTCAACTCTGGTGATTCTTTTTAACAAATTATTCTGCCCTCTCCTGACCAAAGCAAACACCCTGAAAATGTGTTTCAGTGTGTAACTAGTTTAGTAACGTAAACTAAAATGTAGCTATGCTTAGAAAAAAACAAATTTATCAAGTGAAAGAAAAGTTAAACATATACTTGTATTTTAAAACATAGGACTCAAATTAATACAAAGTTTAAGTTGATATGATTCAAATTTGTCAGTAAGACAAACCCCCATAAGGCTAAATGATACAATGCATTCCACTGTTTGGAGTGTAACACAAAATAACTCCTCCATTGCCTACAAAATGAAAAATATGTAATTAACGTAACATTTGATTACTTCAAGAAAAAAAAATAGGTGATCCCCTGCTCTTTTTTAGGTGAAAGTTTTTGTCACCTAATGTATCATGACAATTATTTCAAGTTTTTTATGCCACATGCAGATGTAGCTTGAAATGCTAGTAGGGAAAAAAAGATGCTTGGTTTATCAACAGTTGCTTTTGGCCCTTCTAAAACATTATTTCATTCAGTTCTCTAAATAACAATCGACTCTTGTCACAGACATTTTAAGGTGAAGGAAACTGAAACTTAAAAAATTAAGGAACTTTTTTAAAGTGACACCAACCCAGAAGAAATTAACTAGTACTAGGGTCAGGCATACCTGATGGTGGGCTACTCTTTGTCAGAATACATAGCCCCACAATAACAAAACAAAACAAACAAATGAAAATAAAAACCTTAAAAATTCTTCAATGACACTGTTCAAGATATTGAAGGCAACAAAACAAACTATAACAAAATAAGTATTAAACAAAAAATAAATAAGCAAAACCAACCATTTCTATAGCAGTTAGGAAATATGTAGACTATCCACCTACAAATAAAGTTCATAGATCTTAAACATGCCCCTTTGAAATTGTAGCTCTTAAAATTCTTTAGAATAGAATTACTTTATGGATGAGTAATGCTGGTTAGGAAGTCTACTTGCATTCTTTGTCATTTGACAGTTCTAAAGTGTCTGCGTTTTTCATGAGGTAATTATCTTGT